TTATCTTCATTTATTTATTTATTTTATTGCAAATCAAACCCTCGTGAAACAAACTCATTAATTTTATAGATATAATGTTTATTTTTGGTGCTAATAGTTCTTTTGCCCTATAGATAGAAAATCAAAGATTGTATTTTCCACATCGGAACAATTAATTCACAATGAAAAATAAAACATTAGAATTAATATGGAACGGCTGTTGTGTGGTCCAAGCAGAAGCCTAAGTAAGAAAAGACAGGATGTGAGAATGAAATTGTGGAAAGATGAGTGTGTTGCTGCATATTGTTTCATTGTTTGTTGCAATGTCAAGTGGATCCAAAAAGAAACATAATATTAAAGAAGAAACTTAGAAGTTCTTTTGTCTGCTTCTTACATTTCCACATATGTATTTATTTCTTTCAAGATCATAGCATGAATTCTTGATATTACTCATTTTCGTATTTATATATTTCAAATAATAATTTTTATATTCGTTTTCGTATTCGATAAATAATGAGTAATTCAAATTTTATTTAAATATTGGATTATAATTTTAAAAAATTAAACAAATCATAGATCACAAACTTACATTACAATAATCCAACAAAATTAATTAAAAAACTAATTTCATCTTTTAAGTAACAAAACCAACAAAAATTTAAAAAAAAAAAAGAGAAAAAAAAATTATACCTTCTTCAATGAAAAAAGCACCGTCCCAAACTAAACCGTTTCTTATTATATTATAACCTCCTTTCTTTTTCTTCTTCAAACTAAAGTGATCCTTAAAAGAAAAAAAAAAGTGTCTTTAAATAATAATGGAACTAGTAGGAAAATTAAAAATAATAAAAGCGATTTTTAAATAATAATAGGATTAGACCGTAATCAAACTAAAGTGGTCTGTAAAATATTTTTTAAAAATTATATATTTTCACAACAGATTTATTTTAATTATATAAAAAAAAAGAGAAATAAAAACTGTATTATATATTTTATATATGTGAAGTATTAGACATCTTTTCAAGATGGTACTTCACTCAAATTCAATCATATTTGAGCTTGATTACATTAAATCGGATAATTAAATACAAAAATTTTAAATTTGATAATTTATATATTTGTATAGTATAAAATATTAATAATTTATATATTTATCTCATATTTTAAATAAAAATTACATATTATAATTCATATCAATACTAAAATATAAAATATATCATTTTACTAAATTTATATATAATTTTTTAAAAATTTTAAACGATATCACCTATATTTTTTTTATCATTTTGATATAATATCATTATATCATATTTTATATTTTCAAATCTAAAACTCTTCTTTTATTTTTATTTGTATCTATAAATTATCATGCTAACCCAAAATATCCAACGTTTGCTGCTCTACGATATTCAATGAGGACCCAAGGACTGCAGTTTTCAGTTGTATCCAAATCCACCTCCCTCCCACAAACAAAACCTTAGCGTTAACAAAACAACACATTCCTTCTTCTCTGAATTTAACGACCATGTCTTTTAATTTACCTTTTTTCCATTCTTATCTGTCCCCCGCCACTCGACTCTCTCGTATCTCAGTACAACTCCTCAAATTCAACAAGGTGGGCAAAGCCTTGAAACTCAGTTATACTCAAAGCATTTCTGGGTTCCCTTCATTTGCTTCCCTTAAGCTTTCCACTGTCATCCCTGCTTCTCAAACATCTCTCACTGTCTTTGCTGCTAAAGGCTACAAAATGAAAAGCCACAAGGTACTTCTCTCTTTTCTTCACTTTGTTCCTTCGCAAACAAGGAAAGATTCATATTTTAAAGCGTTAGTTTTCTTGCTGTTGTTATATCAAACAATTTGGTTGCTATATTGAGTTCAATTCGGGCCAAAAGAGTCCACACTTTTAGCTGTAGTTTTAGATTTCGGAAAAGTTAGAAATTTTATGAGCAAATTAGGTTCTTTGCATCTTTTCGTCCAAAAAAGTTGAAAATTTTTCTTGGCAATCAAAAAGCATAGACTAAAAGTTAACAAGTTTGTTCTACTTTTTATGCATATGGGTGTGCTTTTCTAATGGATTTCGTGTTGTTATATGGGTTATTAGGCTTCTGCAAAGCGGTTTCGGGTGACAGGAAGAGGGAAAATAGTTAAGAGGAGAGCTGGGAAGCAGCATTTGTGGCTAAGAAGAACACAAAGCGTAAATTGCGCCTCTCCAAAATGGTCAATTTTTTTTTCTCACGCCAAAGTTTTGCCTTAGCTTGTGCTTTGTTCTTAGTTCTTATTGAATATTTGAGCTTTTTAGGTAGTCTAAAAAAGTGAGTACTAATTGCTCCGAATTCTTGCTGCTTTTGGTTCTTAGTTATGAAGCTTATTTTCAAAATTATATCCTAAATTTTGGTGGATCCTTCCGCTCTGCCACACTGCTTCTTTTCCCCCATATAAATGGGAATTCAGTCTCTTGGCTGTAATGCTGTTTCCTAAGTTCAGTTGGGATTGGTAGATGAACTCTGCCATGGCATGTCCATATTTCCAATCACAAGGATACAAATCACCATTTTTCTTTGTAAGTTATCCTGAGAGAAAAGAATCCTGAAGGAGCTGCCGGTTTTTTGCCCGTTATATTATGACATGTTTTTTCATTTTGGATCGAAGGGGAAACTGGAACTCCACCCCTCTTCTTTCAAGAAGTAGTGTGGCTACCCCATTTAGGCTATTTGTAGTCTGCATTATATAGGTACATTTCATGTCTTGCATTGAGAAAGGGTTGGGTGTGCCTTAGAGAGTATTTTGGCTTCTTTTAGAGCGAAATAATGAACCTATGGTCTTACTGTGATATAGCAAAATCAGCCTGGTGTTTAGGAGGTTTTGATGGGTGAAATCATGGTTATTTTTTGTTACCTTTTGCTTCGTGAGTGTGGTGGGATGGAATGCAGGTTGCACTTTTGCTTTTCTGATAAGTTGACAGTGTGAGAACGCTCCATATTGACCTTAAGAAGTGAGCAAAGGGTATTCAAAAGTAACATGCACCCCCACCATTGAAATATTTTGCTTAAAATGCTCGGTTGATAACTTGATTTGTTCTTTCTTCCTAGGAACTCGTATAATGATATCTGGGCCCTAGATGTTGAAAAGCATATTATAAATCGAATGTCCTCTCCATTTATTACTGTATTTCAAGGTGAAATCTTAGTTATTTGTTGTTAGCCATTGTTTGGTGAGTGTGGTGGTTGAGAGGCAGATTAAACTTTTGTTTTTCTGATAAGTTGACAGTGCGAGAAAGTTCCATGTTAAACTTAAACGGCTAGGGTATTCAAAAACTTAAAATTTATTGTAAGTAACCTACATCATGATCATAACCAATGTAATATTTTGTCTAAATGCTCAATTAATTGCTTGAAACATGATTGATTGTGTCTTCACTGGAACTCAGATACAAATACCTATGCTGGATATTGGTGAAAGCATAACCATATTTAGTACAATACTTAAAAATATGCATAAAATCAAGTCATGGAGAAATTTACTGAAATTGTTTTTGATCATTGTGAGATGGTTTAAACGGACCGTTTAAGTTGCTGAGATAATTTGAAATGAAACACTTTTTGTTTAATGTATAAGGTTAAATATTTAGGTCTCTATTTCAGCATAAAACTTGTTCTCATAATGTATTTGTGTCAATTTCTGTCTGCAGCATGCATTTAGCCGGAGTGAATATGACAATGTGATCGGTGTCTTGCCATATCTCAAAGTGAATAGAAACGCCAAGTAAATCAGGCGTCATGTGAGGACTTTTTATTTTGTTTTCTTGTAATTTCTCAAAATTATGTTAGAGAAAATTGTGTTTATTGTTTTAATCTCCAATGCATGGCCATTGATCAATTCTAAGTTGAAATTTATTTTTTCAATCATGTTGGCACCCGTTTGATTCCGGTTTATGGCATCACACATAACATTATATGCATCGTATGGCTATGCCTAGGATGGTGGATGCTTTAGGGGTTAAAAAAAGGCTTAGACCACATAAAGCATAGAATCCTCATTCATTTCTAATCATAACAGAAGAGATAGAAGAGTTCATCAGATCTCCTGCATTTGCTTTATCATTACCTGATCTAAGGACGATCACCTAGAATCATGAATTTGTTGCTATTGTTGTGTGAAGTTTACCTCTACATTGGCATTTGTTTTAACCACAACTTATTTGGTAAACCAGAATTGCTTTTTAGAGTGTAATAAGCTGTCATACGACTAAATTTATCATGTGTTTATTTTATATAAAATAAAAAATTATTATATCATAATTTATATTGATACGTCAAACACAATATATATTTATTTTTGTTATATAATTTTTATTAAAATTTTAAATTTTATTAATTTATATTTTTTTATATCATTTTTGTATCTATTATTGTGTCGTATTTAATTTTTAATTACGTCCAACTTTGGGGAATTCAAAGGCAGGAAGCCTATTCTGTTATTAACTTCTTCAGTTATTTGTTAGTTGTTACCCGTTCACAAAGCTCAACAGATGAATGTTTCCCAAGCTTTTGGTTGTTGGGTCCTCCTTGAAAAGGCTATCTTTTCAAACCCATCAAGTCTTGTTTTCTTGTTTTAAGGTTGAGAACATGTCATGTTGTTCTTTGTGGCCTGTACGATTTGCCAGTTTCACAAGTTTCACCTGTTTGTCTTCGGCGTCCGATGAATAGTGTACGTGTCACTTGAAAACATACGCTTAAAGTTACGGCTGGACATCTCGCCACTTGTCAGATACCGCCGTCATTTAAAGTAAACCCTAACTATCTGGGCCCCACATTATATCCATCAATGTCTTTAGTGTCCTCCAGCACATTCTACTCTTTTTTCGCTGAATACCCAAAATAACCTCCACTGTAATCCCTATAATTGCCGCAAACCAAGGATATCAAAGTAATCTCGGAACTTTATCGCACGTGCGATGGTCAGATAACGCGGGATGTCGCACGTGGTCGCCGTAAAAAAAAAAATCTTCTCTTTCCTTCTCTCCTCTTTTAATACCGTTGATTAGATTTCCGCAATGTAATTTTCTAGGTTTTCGAAATCTCAGAAACTTGCTGTCTTTCCTTTAATTTTGAGAGAGAAAAATCAAAATTAGATTTTCCGCGATTTTTAGGTTCGGATTGGGAAAATCGGAATTTCTCTTTGATTCGATGGTGCAGTTGATGAGATCGGGGAATCTTAGGCCGGAGCCAGATACTACGGCGCGCCATGACAAGCCGCCGGTGAAATTGGAGATCGTCGAGGATTCTTTAGAGGAAGAACAGGGCCCTCCTAATAAACGCTCCAAACCTTCTCCAAATCTTCAACAGGTAATTTCTTTTTAACCTTTTCCCCTTTTTTAATGAAATAAAACAGTTACCTAATTTTGGAGAGAGATCTCAACTATTTGGGGAAAAAAATAAGAGCTTTATACGAGAGGTTTTAAATTTTAAAGATTTTGTTTCTGGGTTTGATGTTCTTTTTTGTCAGTGGAACTCTGATGCCAATGCATTCCCGATCCCGTCATCGCAATACAATCCGTTGGATGAGCCGAGCCCACTTGGTTTGAGGCTAAGGAAGAGTCCTTCACTTTTGGATTTGATCCAAATGCGCCTGTCTCAATCCCAGAGCAGTGGCTTAGCTGCCCAAGCTGAAACCTTGAGCTCTGAAGTCAAAAAGGAGGTTAAAGCTGCTGCCACTACGGATAAGCTTAAAGCCTCAAATTTTCCAGCTTCCATCCTTCGAATCGGCCATTGGGAGGTGATTTTTTTATCAAATTTTATTTAATTGTCTTATAACATGCATTGTCAAGTGGCTGAAGAATTGTTTACTTGGTGATTCGCAGTATAAGTCGAGGTATGAAGGTGATTTAGTGGCCAAGTGTTATTTTGCTAAGCATAAGCTTGTTTGGGAGGTATTGGAAGGTGGGCTTAAGAGTAAGATTGAAATACAGTGGTCGGATATTATGGCTCTTAAGGCAAATTGTGCTGATAATGGACCAGGGACTTTGAATGTTGTGGTAAACTTTCTTATGTTTCGTATGATCTTCTCTCTCTCTCTCTCTCTCTCTCTCTCTCTCTCTCTCTCTTTTATATTTCCTGCAATCTGAATATGTTTGACTTTGGTTCTTTTTTTTTTTTTTTTTATGATGCAGTTGGGTAGACAGCCCCTTTTCTTCCGGGAGACTAACCCACAGCCTAGAAAGCACACCTTATGGCAGGCAGCTTCAGATTTTACTGATGGTCAAGCTAGCATACATAGGTAAAAATAATATGGAATTAATTCTTTGTGGAAATACAAGGTGAATATTACTGCTTTATCTTAGGCGTTTGCATATGCAATTTTTTTTGTGGCTTTTCAGGCAACATTTTCTGCAGTGTCCCCAAGGATTGTTAAACAAACATTTTGAAAAACTCATCCAGTGTGACATGCGTTTGAACTGTTTAAGCAGACGGCGAGAAATAATTTTGGATTCACCATACTTTGAATCACGGACTTCAGTGTTTGAGGATCTTGATGGACCGAAAGAGCTTGATTTTGGCCAGGGGGAGACTGGTAAAGGATCCACTAGCTCTGGCTTCCAGAATATAGCATCACCTGCTGCAGCTCAGTCTTCGTCCTTGGAGATTGAGAAAGGGGATTCTGCTTGTATAACCTCTGAAAATATGTCCAGGGAAGCTCCTTCTCCCAGTTCAGGTAAAATCAGGAGCTTGGGGATTGTTTTTGTTTTGCTGATGGATAAAGTTTCGGAGTTATATAGTCTTTTTGCATTCTTTTTTAGTTCCACTTCTGAAATCCAATGCCTAATACAGTGTAGTGCATTATCTCTTAGGAATTTGATCTAAAGTATGCTTTTGCATTATTGATAATGATGTTACACGGGCTTGAAGTTATAAATCTTTTTGGTAATGGTGGTGGTGCTGATATAGGCAGCATTGTAAAGAACACAATAACCTATTTTTTATTTCTATATGTGCCGTATTCTGCATATACATGCTATTTGATTTGTTCAGTGTCTGATTGATTTAGTATGTGCATTGGTACCGCTCCATTTTTCCTGGGCATAGACTTATAGCTGAGTAGAAATACGTTTTCTTCTTTGTGAAATAGTATGGTATAAACTATTTGTAAATATAGCATTCTTACATTTCTTTCTTTCTTCTGTAATTAATTTGTCATTTCACATTAGTGATGGACTCTCATGCCATTGAAGGAAGTGGAGTTTTTGAAGCAGTGGATTCAAAGGGACCAAGGAATTGGGACGAGATAAAAGTGCCTGGACTTCACCCATCTATGTCCATGAGTGATCTTATGAACCATATCGGACATTGTCTTTCAGAACAGATGACATCCGAAAATCCATCCTCTGAAAATAGACCAGAATGCCAGGAAATGCTGGAGGAGATTGCACAATACCTTCTTAGTGACACTCAATTGACAACAGCCTCTGATGAGAAATCCCTCATGTCAAGGGTCAATTCTCTCTGTTGTCTTTTGCAAAAGGACACTACAACATGCACAAACTCACAGGCTAACGGAGAAAATTGCGATGGACCTGATGATGGAAAAGATGTTCAGCTAAACCAAACTCACGAGTCTGGGGTTAATATTAAGGGTGGTGTGAAGGCTTTTGAAGGGGATACCAAGGAATTCTCTAGTAACAAGCAGGCTCCGGGCATGTCAAGAAAAGACTCATTTGGTGAGTTGCTGCTTCATCTTCCCCGAATTACATCTCTCCCAAAGTTCTTGTTTAATATTTCAGAAGATGGAGACAGTCAAGCTAGATAAGATAGTTTTCTTGTTTATCAACTGTTTAAAATGATAAATATCAAGTGAATTTCCCAAGCTCCCTCATCTTAGTTGGAAATCAGATGGTCGTCTATTATGTCAAATGTATGTGGATGGATGCTTGGACAATGGGAATTATTGGAATTCAGAAAATTCTTTTGATGAAGAATTCTAGTAAAGCCCATGTAAAAATCTTAGGTGTTTTAGCAAAATTATTTGATTTTATATCTCAAGCAGATTGTTGGTACTATTTTAATTTGCAAGTAAATTGTAATTGATCTGTGCAAGTCCTCTGTTCTTATCATACATGGTGCAAATGAGCAAATTGCTTTTAGCGCTTGATTGTAAGGTGGATATTTTAACATGGAGGAATTTGTGCGAGTTTGGTTGCATAGGATATTGTTGAATCGTGTTGATGGGTATTGTTCGAAGATTATATATATGCACGTCATTTATGAAATGATTTATAAAAAAAAAAGGTTTCCAACCACTTGCATGAGTTATATAATTAATGATGGTTATAAGACTTTGTTTTTGGTAGAGCAGTTGGAAAACGTTGTAGCCGTCAAAGTGTGCTCTGTTAACAAAAACGGAAAAGGAAATATAGAAAAGAGAACTTGTGTGAGGAATCAAATTACTTCAACTGTGAAGATTGAAATGTTCTGCTAGCAAACGTATACTTTAGCAGGTAACAACACTACTTAATCCTGGTAGCAAGATTTCTGTCCCCAACAGAGGGATTCCTAATTTTAAGATGGCAGAGCCAAATAATTGCACTCAAGTAGTATTTTACAGGCAAACATGATGGAAGAAATGGTACTCAAGAATTCATAAGCACATTTTTGAAATAAACTCTAAATAAATAAGGCTTTGTTAAACTTAAAGTGCCAATGCTTGGAAAATATTTACAGTTTTTTTTTTTTTTTTTTTTACATATTTAAAAAGAGTAGCTTTATGTACAAAGGAGATTAAAATTGGCTGTACAAAAGGAAAATCTAATTCAACTGCCACCATGATGGTTTATCTACAGAATATTTTATAACGTATGTACAGTTAGGTTTCTCCCATCACGTCAAATCTGCTTCTGGGGCAGGAATCAGGAAGGAGGTGGTGAATGAATGGTGGTACCAGGTATCATGGCTACTGTCACTATGAAGTATTCACATCCAATAGGGAGACCATAGGGGTTCAAACTTGATCCAGAACTCAAGGTTAACCGCTCTGCCTCTGTGTCAGAAGTTAGTTGATCCACAGGATCCTCTATAACATGATCAGATGTAGCTGATGGAGGCAGTAGCTTCACAGTTTGGCGCTCAATATGTACAATCTGCCCAACTATATAGCTCGGTTGGCTTGCAAGATGATCAGTAAACAAGGGCACAGATTCAGCAGACAAGTAGTAGTTGGAGCAGTTTCGGGTGATTGCCTCATAATGCCCAGCTGAATTTAGTACAAATGCAGCAATTTCATGGACTTGCAAGCGGCTGAAAGATATCTTTTCCTTGTTTGCCTGAAGCAGAACATCATACTACTTGCTTAAAAAATTAAAACATGCTACATGAAAAAAGAAAGAGAGAAATCATGAATAGTTATATTTAGAATTAATCAGGAAGAATGAATAATGACAAGCAAACTATTTATTCTGTAACAGCTTGCTATACATGGTTAATGGGTCTGCAAGAGCAAAAGCTGGTAGAAGCTTCTTTTCACTGTTCAAGCATATATCTGCATGGTATAAATAAGTCTAATCCACCCAATCTTATTAAGTTGAGCACATTGACAAAACCTACCTGCTTCTGAAGTTGATGCTTAGCGTTCAGAGTGTTAACCAGCTCGTTTTTCTCTTCCAATTCCTTCCTAAGCCGTTCATTTACTGCTTCAACACTAGTGTAATTCTCATGCAACTCTTCGCAATGCCTAGACAAGAAACCAACTTTTTCGGCAAGGACCCGGATACATTTGTGGAACTCTGCAGTGCCATCATCTCCGCTATCACTAATGGAACTGAAATTTTCATAGCAGAGATATTTGGACCATGGTCATTAAAATGTCTATCATGGAAGTGAAAATTCAACAGGAAAAAATAGCACTTCAGAACATCAGAAAAGATACTATTTTGTCCGTGTATCACCCTTTAAACTTCTAAGTAAATAGATGGCAGAAGTATCCTTTCCCCCCCCCCCCCCCCCTTCCCATCCCCAAAAAAAAAAAAGAGCAATGGGTTTGAAAGGGAAGAACACAACCCATTTCCAATCACTTTCTTATAAAGAAATCCACTTTCTGGAATGCTAAATAGGACCAAAAAGTTTAATTATGAATACATTTTTTTTTGTGCATGGACTTCAACTACAAATTTTGATTAAGCTTTCTCTTTGCTATAATTTATGAAATTGAAAACTAAATTATCGTTTCCAGTTTTCTTCCAGCCCATTGCCCACCATTCCTTTGCCCCTAATAATGGCCTACCAGTGATAAAGAATAAGGAGTGGGTGAAGGAGACTGTGCAAACCCTCGCAAGCATTTCAACAAGTAACTTACTTGGCCAAAGTCTGAGCCAAAACATGCAAAGAATCAGCAAAACTGGCCATCCCACCAGGAAAGTAGACACAATTTCGAAGTCTTTCAAACATATCACGCATCTTAACAGCCGATGCATGCAGCGCACTATATTCTGAGGCTCTCCGATCAGCAGCACAACGATGGCTTTGGGCTGCCTCTCTTGCTTCATGCAGACAATTCTCCAAGTGAGCACGGTTCATCTGTAACACAGTAAGGGAAAATGAGAGTACAGCACACGATAGTGATCAAATAGTTAAATTTACACTATAAAGGCAAATAACATAGGTTGAGTTTCCTTCAACAATCCCTCAAATCAAATTTGATTGGCAGTGCAATTAGCTGTAATCTGGATACACATACAAGAGCAAAGCAATTACTACCAATTTTCAGATCGACTCTAGCATACCAGAAAAACTAAATAAGTTGCCAACCTCTCTAAGGTATCTAAAGGAGTCCTTGAGTTCACCACTAACCTCCAAAATTTATAAGCAAGTTGGCCTATCATCCAACTTGGGAACCTAGTTCAACCTCCTATTTTTTAGGTTTTCTCTCACTTTTGAAAAGTTATTTACACCTTAAATGTTGTTTTGTTTAGTATGCTACAATTCTAAGTCTCTTTTGTGGGTGCCACTAGGCTAGTACTAATAAAAGAAGCAACAATTTACTCATACATCTAGCCTGGAGGGCATACATGACAAAAAGGACACTCTAAACTTAGAATAAATGAAGCAACAGGCACTGAAGTAAAGGATAGGCAGCATAGAGTATTCAATTTCCACATCCATGTTATAATCCATAGCCAATAAGTATAACCTTATAATGCCATTTGGAGATAGGTAGCCCAACAAGTCATACCAAGTTTCATCCCCAATTCCTCATAATGTTCCAGGTAACTTATTGCACTATAAAATAAAGTATATAACTTCAAATAATGCAGTTCGTAATCTGTGAAGGAGGGACTCCCAGTAATATCCATGTGTTACCTAACATGAATGCATAGAAACGAATATGCTCAATGAAGAACAGTAAGAAATGAAATAGAATCAGTTAAATCTATCATAAATCACTGGAAAACCAAAATGCAAATAGGAAGGGAAGAAATTCATTCTGCTACTACCTGAGATTCATCAAGAAGTTTATGACTCATTTCCATCTCCCTCCTAAGCATGGAAACCTCATCCAAAACATCCCTAAGTTTGGTTTCAGTTTCACTTAATCGGTTGAACTTCTCTGCAAGCGTACTTCGCAATTCCAAAACAAGATCCCCCTTAACTTTAGAATCTAAAACCAGCTCTGCTGCTGTCTCACAAGGTAAAGCATTCAGAGGCTCAGGCATACTCTCAGCAGTAGAACTGTTAGTGAAAGAAATGCCAGACTTTCCCACCATCCTATCTTTTCCATCTTTCTCACCAACTTGCAGTTCTTCTCGATGCGGCTCTTGCAATGATGAAACCAACTCAGGGTTGAGCATTATAGAGGAGTCCATCACATTCTCATCTACCACTTCTCGACCTGTGCTTGATTGCTGTGTAAATAGTCCCAGCTTTGCATCCAAAGAATTTGAAATGCACGAAACTTCATCCATGGGCTCGGATGTAGATATGCAAAGGACATTCACCTCACAACCTGAGATTTCGGGCTTACAATCATCAGCCTTTGAGGCCAGAAGGCCAAAGTCAGTGATATCATTAGTTATAGAAAGCTTCTGCGCCTGTGAAAACTGATCAGACAATCTCTGCTCCAGTTCCTGAATGCGCTTTTCATACGAAACACACTGCATTTGTTTTGCCTTGAGCATAGATTGCAGGTGTTTTCCATACTCATCTTTTAGATGCAAGGCTTCAGCAGTCTTTTCTGCAGCATTTTTCAATAAAGTATTGACTTTATTATCATCAAGTGATTCATATTCAAATTCAGGACCCAAACAACAAATCAGGGCTATTGCAGAAGCAAGTTTAGCTTTCAGTTTTGCATTCTCAACTTCCATCGCGCTAGTTCCAGCAATCTCTGCCAATTCACACCCCTCAAGGTAATCATCAGAATCATCTTTTTCAAGAGTATCTACACCAATCTCTTCAGTACCAGCTGAATGAGAACTCTCATTTGACATGGAAATTGGATCTCTTGAGCCAGCCTTCGTAGGCAGTCCTGCTAAATACTCAGGAGCATAATGGTCCAGGTCATGAATATCAATATCAAGCAATGCAGTGTCAAAAGGAGCTATATTCACAACACACTGGTTAGGGGTATCATATAACCCCATGGAAGCCAATACATCCTCGGGTATATACAAACCATGTGTTTTTAGAAACTCCTCTCGTCTCCTAGCCTCAACTTCTCTCTTTGTTGCAAGCCTTTCAGCCAGCTGACCAGCCATGCCCATGTAAAGCTTCATAGATGCCCTTCTTCTCACTATTTCAGCAAGACAGGCTCTATATGCAGGAGCAATTCCGCGGACCAACTTAAGGTCCATAAATAGATCCTCCTGACGCATCACCTCTCTGAAAACATGAAACTGCAACTTGACCTCCTTGATGTGGTATGTAACATATGTTGTCTTTTGCATGTAATTGTGAACAAAGATGTTCATTTCATTCTTCTTATCCTTGCAAAAGTCTAGCAGCTTTGATATTGCATGTTCACAAGCCAGCATCCTGGGCAGATGACTCTTGTCATGGACATCATACATAGGACCCAAGGCTGAAACTGCATCATGAGGACGAAGGGAGGAAGAGAATTGGCACGACAGACAATCATCTACAAGCTTCTTTACTGTATTGACATCTTTGCTGCAGGAATATAGACACGCAAAGTCATCAATTTCAGACATTATGAAATTCTACAAAGACAATTATTACAGAGGATCTTTGCAACATTAGTAAACAGAAAAAAGTGTAAACCATATAGCAGTTGATAAAAACTGAATACTAAACAAAAAAGAAAAAAAAATTCTTAGATTAGGAGAAATTAAGATCCATTTGGATCTCAGAAAGTAGAGTAGAAAAGAAATAAAGGTTACTAAATTGTCTATGAAATAAATTTCAACTTCTCAAACTAAAAAATATTCTATAAAAGGTGAAGTGTTAATTGCTAGGATTAGAAGAAATATTTTTCACTTACGTGTTGTTCAAATACAGTCTCAAATGTTATTAAAGGTTACAATCCTTTTATGACCAGATTAGATGAGTATAACATTGAAACTCCCAATCATGTGTTTGGAAAGTTCTTCAGTTGGTGCTATGTTAGATTGATACGCATAAGTTACCATATGCTAGAATCAAAAGCTCTATGACAAAAGCAGTCTCCAACAGGTCAGAGCCATATGGACATGAGGAAACCCATTAATAAGCCTCCTCAAAATTGTAAAGCTGCGTAAGATTTGCAAAAAGTTTATTACTATCCTCATATGCACGTTCTGACAATCCTCATCAATCACTCAGGTGATTTGACTTTGAATTTATCAGTGCCCATGGATATTGATTAGTTCCTTAATAAACAAGAAGTCACAATATCTCTCCTCACATTTCCATTTTCAATTCCCAAACGAAGGGCCTTAGTGCCTAAACATAAATTAAGACAAGAAACATACTAGCTGAATTTTTTCATAATCTGGAATAATACTCCCTGTATATGTTCCAGGGAACCATGCAGATTATAAAATTGTCCTAGGTTGTGTGTCTAAAAATTCATTATAATATTTCAGATGAATCACGCAGAACAAAGGCCAAAAGAATAACAAAAGCAATGATCTGTCCATAAAGCTGGGGAACACTCACAGTCGTAAATTGATCCACTGTGAGGACAAGTCCAATATATAGAAGAAATGCCAAAAGAACAAGAATAGCATAAATAATCAACACTCTGGATCAAAATTTCATACCATAATGCAAGGGGGATGGGATGTACAAATCAAAATTCCCTTCAAATTACAAGGAGGAAAAAAATGCATAAACCAAAAGAGCAAACCTTAAAGACTGCATAATGCTCTTCTGTTCATTCAGGCATCGCTGATGCTCCTTAATGGTTAGTTCCAAATTCTTAATAGGCAAGGAAGCCCTCAAAGGGAGCAACTCCTCTACCTTGCGCTTCAATTCACCAAACATCTGATTGAATTGTACAACTTTGTTCTCAAACTGCCTGTGGAAGCTTTTACAATTTTCCCTAGACTTCCTTAAGTTATCTTCCTTCACAAAATCTAGTAAGCATTTCCTAGCAGTCTGCAATGCAGGGTGAAGCTTGGTGGATCTCAACTTCTGCATATCCTTATCAAAGTCTGCCAACAAATTAGTATGATAACGATGTTGCTGTTTATAACGCTTCATGAATTCCAAATAATTTTGGCGAATCATCCTATAATGTTGATCTAAATTATTTCTTGCAATTTCCAATGCCCTTTCCTGAACCTTCTGCTCCCTCAACAGCCTTTCACAATAATCAAACTTTGACAGTGTTCGATTATATATAGCAAGTCCTCGATGATAATGGTACCTAAACTGCCTCTCATAAGAAGGTAAAGCCTTCAAAGCAGGGTCAGGAGCATCATCCAAAGGATGAGGGTCACTAATGGAAGCCGGCGGCCGGGGTTCTGAAATTTCAACTATATCAACTTGCTCTGGTGGTGGTGGTGGGGAATTAGTTTGCAACCTTGACTTGTTAAATATGAAGACATCACGGTCACCGGAAGGAAGTTTATATGCAGAAAGTGGCCTTTGAGGCAAAAGTTTCAAGTCTGCACACAGAACGAGCTGATCATTGAAGTGGATGCCAGAAACTGGTTCGATCGTTTGCATAACTGCCTCCACCAATGTAGTTTCATCACAATCAAGCTCAAAGGAATGTCCATTTTCAGCTATATGAACCAAAAGCTTCCCTTCAGGAATCAATTTCTCTGTCATACTTGAGCTCATCTTTTCTTCAGCTCCCCGGAAACCACAATAAAAATCCCAAACAGACCACTTAAAATTCAATCTTTTTGCGAATTAACCCACACCCAAATGGAGAAAAATTACCAAAATCTCAGCCTCTAATGATAAAACCCCAATTTTTATCAAATCCACCAATAAAGTTGCAAGGCCTCCCAGAAAGGACATAACAAACCAATAAAATTCCCAAATTTAACATTGAATCCCTTTCAAAACCCCTAAATTGAAACAGAGCCACCAGGAAATTTCACCCAAAAAGCCAAATTCTCAACAGACCCACCAATTATAATGCCACCAAAACCCTAATTCCAATCAACCCACCACCAAATACAATAATTATCAACAGAGCAAGGAAAAAACCCCTCCCCGAAATCCTCGGATAATCCCCAAATTTCCTTTTGTTTACAAACAAAAAACAGAATTTAAAAAAAAGGGTTTCAAATGGGGAAAAAAAAACTGAGAGGAAACGAAAATTAAAAGCGATTACGTGAAGAGAATGAATCTGAAAGGAGGGATTATGTTCTTTTTTTAGGGTTGGAAACAAGGTTCTCTCCACAAAACGCTTTCGATATAAAATCTTTTTTATTATTTTTTAATATCTACATCTTCTTGTTAGGGTTTTTGTATAATAATAATGGGAAAATCACAGAGAAGCTTCCGCTTGAAGCAACGATGGTGATAGCAGAAGAGCTCTCTGTTTCTCTCCCTGTCTCTGTTCCTTATTTCTGCTTGGAAGAACACAAAAAAGCTAGTTGTTTTATTTTGATTTATATTTTATTATTTTTTTTTCATTAATGGACTAATGCAATTTTATTTTATTTTTGTTAATTTTGAAAATACCAGTTTTTTCCTCTTTAGTTTTTTGAAATTTCATTTTTGTCCTTTGATGGCTTGACCAGAAGTTAAAGAGGTTAAAAACTTGTTCTTTTCCTTTTTTTTTTTTTTTTAATTTGGACTTCCTTTTCTTGTTGGATACTTGGATTTGGTAAAAATAAATTATAATTTAAAAAAAAAACTTTATGAAAAAAATAATTTCTTGAGGAGAAAATATCATAAATTTTATCATGATTGCAAGGGAATAGAGCAATTATTTTACTTAATGAGGAAATGCATTCTTTTTTGTCAATTAAAGTTCAATTCTTATAAAGAATATGTCATGAGCAAAATTTTAAATCTATCACATTGATGTAAAAGAATTTACTTATAAAATTATCTAAAAGTAAGAGCATAAACGAACGAAATTTTTGACAAATTATTCATAAAATATTCTATTTCTATTCGTTTATATTTATTTATTAAATTTAATAAATAATTTTAAATAATATTTTTATATTCATTTATTAAATAAATTGAACATAAATAAAAAATTATTTGATTCATTTATATTCATAAACAAATTTATTTAAAACTTGTTTAAAACTCATTCGTTTATTATTCATTTATTATTTGTTTGTTTTATGTTTGTTATTCGTTTATAATAATACTAACAAGATTATATTTTTATCTTTTATTTTAATTCTATTTTAAAATTCGTTTATAGTCATTTAGTATTTGTTTGTTTAAATTTATTTGTTATGATTTATTTATTATTCATAAACATATTCGTTTATATATGTTCGTGAATATATTTATTTAATATTCATAAATGATAACTTTTTAACTTAATTAAATATAATGCGAACCAAATATGTACATTTTATCATTTAAATTAACCAAGCTCAAATAAACAAAATAATTTTTTATCGAATATAAACTAACCCGATTACCTCTAAAAAAAAAGACAAACAAATTATAAACATATTTTCGTTTATTCATATTCAATTTGTTTACGGTCCATTTAAGGAATACCTTTAATTGTACTATAAAAAAATATTTTTTTGTTTTTTTTTATGTTTCGAAATTATTTTTTTAATATTTAAAATTCTTACTTTTATATTTTAAAATTATTTTTTATAGTTTTTTATTTTTTGACATTAAAAATGGTACAAGTTCAGTTTCATAAAAAAAATTAAAATTTAATATTAAACACATTAAAATAAAACTTTTTTATTAAATTACATGAAAATCAAAGAATTTCAAATAATTTGAGACAGAAAAAATATAATACTTTAATAATAATTTTATTAATAGTAGCTTGAAAGATATATTAACAATTTGCCTATATATATTAGACTTTCAAGGTTCGTTTTGTGTATAAAATTATGATAAGATAAGATAAAATAATATTTTAAATTAAATTAAATTAAATAATATTATTTTATATTATATTTGATGTATATAAAGATTATGATAGGAGAATTTATTTATTAATCAAAATTATTTTTTTTAATATTTATATAATTTAAATTATTAATATAATTTTTAAAGGTATAATAAAATATATAAGTTTAATTTCATATATTAAAAATAATTCTCTCCATCTTGAAATAATTGAATCATTTTATGACAAAATAATAATTAATTCTCCTTATAATTTTATTTTTTTTCACATACAAACCAAACATGATATAAAATTATTTTTTATCCTATTTATAATTTTATGCGCTAAATATAACATGAAATCATAGTAAGTAAAAAACATTTTTTTAAACAGCTAAAATAAAAAAAAAAACCCATAAACTTTATCATTTTATTACAATAAATTTTTATACTTTTATTACACTCAAATAATCGTTTGAGCTTTAATTTGCATTAAAATAAAATCTTTAACATTTAATTTGTTCCTAAATAAACTTTTAATATAAATTAATTTTTTATTTGAAATAAAAATTTATTTGAATACAAATAAAATAATAAAAACTTATTACAATACAATAAAATATAAGAGCTTATTCTTAAAAATAATTCAGAGAGTGTTTTTAACATTTTAGTGGTATCAAACTAATTTTTACCATGAAAATATGGAACCGAGCTATACAATGGCAAAGTTTAGATTTGATGATATGTTTTGTAAAATATTAAATTTTATATATTTGTATCATATTTTATATGAAAATTACATATTATAATTTATATCGATATAAAAATATAAAAAATAAATTTTTTGTTTTGTTAAAATTATATATAATTATTGTTATAATTTTAAGTTATGTCACTTTCATATTTTATTTTTATTTTATATTATTATATCATATTTTAAATTATTAAATTTAATAAAATTAAAAAAAAATCAACTTTACTAATAAAAAAAATGAGAGAATGGGAAACAAATAAACTATTTATAAATACTAAATATCAGAAAAATATAATTATTAAAATATATTAAAAAAAACTAACAGCATAATTAATAGGACCAAAGGACTTAAATTCCAAAGCAAATAGGATAAAGTGGTGCAAAAGTAAAAAAAAATTAGCAGACCAAAATCTTAAAGTTGCCTTTGCGTCCTTTTGGTTCAGCCAATGAAAGAAGATGCCAAGGAAATTACTTGGCTACGCCTCTGTAACTAACACATGCTGTTAAATTGTACATTCCAATTTTGTGGCTGAAATGGGAAAAAAAAAAATTGTCTGCCAATCCTGTTATTTGTTAACATCAACAATTTTATTTTTTAACATTAAAGAAGAAACATAGCCAGAAATTATTCAATGCCACTGCTGAATTTAGCTGTTTCCTGGCAACTTCCTTAGCTAGCACCTGGCAGTTGGCTAGGCTGCTTTTGTTTCATAATGCTTTGCATATGCATGAAAATGTTGAAGGTATTGGATTTGAATGGAGTTATTTTTAATTTAAATTATTTTAAATTTTAAATTTTCAATTAAATATATTAAAATTTAAAATTAAATTAATATAATTTTGAGTGATTTTAAATTAATATTTTGAAGCATTTGAATTCAAAATTATTTTATATTTTAATTAATTTTGATTTAAATTATTTTAGGTTTGAATTAAAAAAATTTAGATTGTTAATTTTTTTTTATCAAATCATGTTAAATTGAATTCAAACAAATTGAATAATTTTTTTAAATTCAAATCAATTTCGACGGCTTAGGTTGAAATTTGAAAGTGACTTTGATTTAGACGTAAAAATTCTCAAGTGAACAACTTCTCAATTATTAAACGGCTGCCTTGAATTATCAAATTTAATGATTTTTTTTTTTATATTTGAAATGATTAAGATTTAATTTTATCACTAAATTAAAAATTTTAATAATTTTTTAATATAATTTTTGTTAAAAACATTTGACGGTAAAAAAAGTAAAATAATTTTTTTCTTTTATAAAATTTTTAGTAAATAATTTAAGATATTTTTATTATTTGTGTCAATTTGATATGTTTAATATTATATTAATTTGATATTATCTTTATTATTCTTTAATAGTTTCTAACAATTTACTTATAAATATAAAAGTTTAGATATCATTAAGATAAATTCATTTAATTTTTTTTATTTTTGATCTAAATCTTTTTTATTTATATATTAGAATACAAACATAAAAAATACATCCTACATTTATTTTTAAAAATTTTTTCTATTTTTTTAAAAATATTTCAACATTAAAACTTGACATTATTATTATTATTATTATTATTATTATTATTCACACAATTGGAATTTAATACTTAGTTATGATGTGATCGATGGTTGCTAATGTATTAATTATTTGTAATAAATACAAAAGGTAATAGGGAGGAAGTTGAAAACAAATGTGAACAGATTTCATATAAACTTATAAAGAGAAGTGGAATGTAAATTTCCAAATAGTCCAAGTGTTACACGTAGCTATTGTTGCATTTTGGAGGACCAATTCATGAACCTGTGGCCTTTCATTGACCATTGGATTTCAATTCGTTGAAAAGATTGAAAAGAATAGTCTCCAGAAGATTTTGGTCACAAAAATTTGCACGTGGGAGTTTTTCATTAAGCATCTCCACATGAGGCAACAAAGGCTATCCAGTGGTCCTTTCAAAAGAAAAAATATTAATTTAAAATTATAATATTCATTCCATTTAAATTATTTTTTATTTGATTTGAATTAAATTTAGATATTAAATATATATTAATTTTAATTTTAAATTAAAAATAAAAAATATAATTAAATTATATATTTTTATTAATTAATATCTACTTTAAATTTTTCTAAAATAAAAATAATTATTTTATACTTAATCTATTACATTTTATTAAATATATTTTAATTGATTTATGTAATTATGTTTATATTTAAAAGATAACATATAAATTTAAAATTTAATTTTTTTAATACCTTCAGCCCGTTTTTTATTTTGAAATTAGGATCTCTTTTGTAAAAACAATTAAAATTTTATTTGCATCCCATCATTTATTTCCATATTAAGGGTAATGCATGCATCTTATATTCAAAGAATTGGATTTGAATATTTTCTATAGTTGAATTTTAAGGGCAATAATTACTAAATCTTGACTTAAAAAAGAAATGCAATACAATTGCGCTTGCCCTGAGGCAGCCGATGGGGTTACATCAAAGGACCTGGACAGGCACATGGGGGGCCTGGCGGCCTGCAACAGTTGATGCAGATGTCTGAACCTGTACCTCAGGACCACTGAGAACATCGATCTCATTGTGTTTGGTTTAACAATTATTGTGGCAGCCTCACGTGTTCACCAAAACCGTCGAATGTCTTAAAATTTTGCAGTGCTGTAGATTTTCATTCCCTTTAAAAACATTGCTACTTCATTCAACAAACGAAGGAGAAATGACTGTAGAAATGGGTTGCTGGTAGCCTATTCCTAAACCAAAACATTTATCCGTTTGAAACTTGGGTTTAAAGCAACAGAACTAATTTTGGGCTCGGTCTGGTACAAT